TTATCTACCTTCAATTATCTTCATTTTCATTTTCCTTCTTCTACCAACATTCATCTTCATCTACTTTTATATACCTTCTTCTAACTTTATCTAACTTCGAATCAATTAACCTTCAACTTCCTTCATTTACTTTCATCTCCTAAGTACACCATCATTTACCTTCATTGGCCCTATTCTACCTTCAAGCACCTTCACCTCATTTTATTTTCCTGAATGTACCAGACTTTGCATTTATTTAACTTTATCTACCGTCATCTACCCTTATCTACCCTAATTTCCGTTCACTTACCTTATTCTCCCCTCATCTACCGTCATTCACCTTCAACCATCTTCATCTCTCTTTTTCTATCATCTTTTACCTTCATCTTCTATCATCCATGAAAAACTTTTCAAGAAAGTGCAGATTTTGACAGTTGTCCCTTAAAACGCTAATTAATCACCTTTCTGACGATCTAAATTTCAACAATTTCTGGGGAGCATGCTATGTATTTACTCTTCCAAGGACTCTATTTATTCAGCGAATATTAATCCGACCCCCCTTACTAATCCTCGATCGGCGCTAACCAGTGAACTCACATCATGTAATAAGATTTCTATCCTTCAGGTTCTGCTCTACTTTTTCTGGCACTCTCTGTGACTTATCAAATTCTACCATCAACGCGGGCATCCCCAATAGATGGCCAAAAGAACACTGCAGTCTGTTTGGAAAAAATAATGAAGGAAGTCACCCAAGTTCGATTTGCGGTTAAGGAGAACAAAACATTGGCGAGATGTAAGCACGATTCCTCTTCGTTCATGTGTTTTACTACCTTTATTGAAATTTACTAATTTCTATTTTCATTATTATATTTCAAGAGAATACAAACTGTTATTCCCTTGTATTTCATTAACAGCTAAGAACTGCGTTGAGCTCTACTATTCCGGTCAAAGGATCAGCGGTGTTTATACAATCGACCCAGATGGCTTAGGCGCCTTTAATGTCTACTGTGACCAAACTACTTCCGGTGGAGGATGGACAGTCTTTCAGAAGAGAATGGATGGCTCCATTGATTTTAACCGCACCTGGAATGACTACAAATGTGGCTTCGGTAACCTGGTCGGTGAATTTTGGCTCGGACTGGACAAGATAAACCGTCTGACACAAAACAAAACAAAGAACATGCTTCGAATAGATCTGGGGGTAACTACGCGCCAAACTGTTCACGCTGAGTATGGATGGTTTGGGATTGGGAACGCGACGGCTGACTACCGCCTGTACATTGGCAATATGACAGGTAAGTAAACCGTCTTTTTAAACATTCATCGTTCGCTTTTTATGTGTTACCTCCCTATCGACGTCTACTGTCCCATTCACACCAAAGCTTAAGAGCTGTTTTGCTAAAAACGATTTTAAATTTGTTTCTTCAGAAAAGCTGCTTAAGGTGATGTTTATCCACATCAAATTTAGCAAATTAACAAGTTAGTGACAACTTGAATCCTATGGAAATCTGATTTTTAATTCAATCCCTTCTCCCAACTCCACGTAATCTACAAAGAATGGTTCGTTCTAGTGTATGCGCGTTTGACCGTGTTTTGCTGTTAATTCTGCCCATACCTAGTTTAGTTCACGCTCCTCCGTAAATAGTTTTCTAAAGCTGCTTGAGATAGAAAATTCATTGAACTCGGCTTTACCAAAATCATAAAATTTGAGTATTTATTATTTTGCCAGATATTTTTGTATTTGGATATCTGCCCTACTTCGTCGATTGGCGTAGCTATCGAGCTTGAGGAGTTATCTTAATCCTAACATTATGGAATTTTGGTATTCATTATTATCATTTTTTTAAGCAGATGCAACTGTTTCCGTTGATTCCCTCAATCCTCACAAAGATCTCATTTTTGGTACTTGGGATAGAGATCCTGCTTATTGTGCTCAAAAAAGAGGCGGAGGCTGGTGGTATGGCAACAGTAGTGCTTGTGCTGTTTGGTCGAATCTCAACGGAATTTATCCGCATTGTCGAAAGGAAACCTGGGCCGATATCCATTGGGGAGAATTGTCATTCGAATGACAACGCTATCGCATAGCTATTGACGTAAGTGCATAAATAATGTACCACAGTCTTTATTTCTTCACACGGTAAAACTTGCATATCCTAGGTTACATATTTTGATATAATCTTAAATCGCTTGATTGATAGCCCTAAGTTAGTGAAGCTTTATAAAACATCAGAAAGCGTAAAAACTGTAGAAATAAGTGAAAACATTTACGAACTGCAGCTAGTAGCTTAGAACGTTCCATAGATATAAATTCTTCTGAATTAATTTCGATGTGATGAAAAGATTATTTTCTAAAATCGCATTTGATCAACTATATATGGTCGAGTGTATAATTTGATCATTTCTTCTTATCTGCGAATTCTTGGCATTTTAAAATCTAGAATTAAAAGGCGTTGAAAATAATACACGTTTTATTTCTTGTCGTACAAATTACTTCTTAACGTTTCAAAACAGCATCAATTGTTCCGGATTTATTTCTTTGTCAGATATTCAAAAACTGAAATCACAGATATTTTGGTTTAATTTGGACAGCAAGCGAAGTAATTTTTTAATTTCAAATCCACAATGAATAGTACGTAAAAAAGAATCAACATCACCATGCATGCAAATAACTGCACTTAACGCCTGGTCGCGAGGGAAGCAGCTTAACGATGGTGTTTCCCCGGTGGAATTCATTCAAATTCAAGGAAGGCCACTCGATCATCAATCTGCCAATCACAATTGTAATAAAAGCGAAGTCGACCGATCAAAGGACGCAGAAATCACTATTTACAAGAACACTTTGCTGTCTGAGAGTTTTAAAAAAAATCCACTGGTCTAATTTTCATTTCAGTTGATGTGGGGGCGCTGTCATTCGAAAACCTATCATACTCGAGGGTTTTCAAGCCTACAATTGTTATTCATTTTCATATTTGCTAGTGAAGCTTCTTACGCACGATTGACAAGCATTTAAGACTGTAAAGGTATAGAGTTGTAAGTTGGGAACCTAATTTTATCACGAATTGGTAAACAACTTCACAAGTACTTTATTTTACATCTCTTGATAATACAAAAAAAACTAACCGAATCAAAACATAACAAAAGAAAAAGCATATGTGTCCCAAACTAGGATAGATACGAACAGAAAACGCTATTTGTACTCTCTTACAAATTGAAAAGAAAAAAAAAAGTTTAAGTCTGCTGTTCTAAATATCTGTCCGGTCCGTATTGTATATTACAAGGATAGAATGTGGCAGACAAAATCCAAGTAGTTACATGCGTTGAATAGTGCATAGTGTTAAACGAACTCGACAAGAACTTCTGACTACGATGCTGACAGATACAAAATCAGTTAAAATGAATCGCGTGCTGTAAGCGTCGTAGTAAATCGTATCATGTCAACCGTATGCCAGTTCGAACTGAAATACAAAAACCAAAATAGAAGCTAACGTAAAGAACATATCGAAGATAAAATAATGCAAATGAAGGAACTATCGCTAACATTGCAATAACGACCGTAACATGGAAGTGTCAAATATAGTCGGCACCTTTATTGAACGTAAGGAAGGCAAGAAAACGATAAATAAGCTACACGTTGTTTAACTCGGACGATACCCTTATGTTAAATGACCTTATATTATATTGGAGATATGGACCTAATCATGCACGATTCCGAGCGTACAAAGAAAAAAATAACTAAGCTATCTAGTAACGATATAGGCCATTTGATAGGCGATAAAGTGAGACTTAACTGAAACGAATAACAATAGAAAAAGCCCAGGAACTAAGCCCGAAAACAAGGAATCGATTACTTACTTGGTTTGCACACGCACTGAATTTGACTTGATAGAATAGATGAGTAACAGTGTAGAGAGAAACTATGGCCCAATGTCGAGTAGAAGTTGGCGCAGTAGAATCTACACTTGAACTGAACTAACCGGGTAAAACCTCGTAAATGTGTCTAATCAAAGAACACACACGCCAAGCCTGCTCTCGTGAAAATATCTAATCAAAGAACACGCAAGCCAAACCTGGCGACAATAACAATTTCCTATAACGGAAATAGTAGCAGAGGGTTGGTCAACGACGACAGATTGAATAAGTAAGTAGGACCGTGCACGAAAGTGACAACTACTTGATAACATCTACGGTATAGTAAGTTCCTGCGACAAGAACTGAGTTAATATCACGGTACAAAACCAACAGTATAAGTATATCTATCATTTTTATGATTTCTTTTTTTGAGAAAAACTGAATTTAAAGATGAGTTTTTACAAGTATATCTTTTCTTCAGAAGTCAGGGTAATTAAAGTAAGATACAGTGAACAGTAGACCACCAACTAAGCAATATTAGCAAATGATCTCTTTAGCATTTTCCAATTATTGCTTGACCGTGATTCTCACAGCCTCTCGAGAGCAAAAGACTTAACTGGACTTTTTCATAAATTTTTCTTAGATTTTCAAGGAATTCTCTGTAGCTTTGGTGCGTAATTGCCTCAGGCAAGGATTTGGTGGCCACTAAGCAACAAGGAGATAATAAAACATTTCAAAAATGATAAGTATATTAATGTGTGGAAACCGTGTTCTACAGGAACCGGCAGAATCATTTCTCACTTTGAATTTTTTGAGGTCACACTTTACTCTCGTATAGATATTGTCTTAATCCATTTCGGAAAAAGCGGGGGCGGGGGGAGGGGCGGTAAAACATGCATTATCTCTCTGGACTTTGAAATAGCCTCTCGCCGTCTATTTCCTTGCGGCAACTCGCAATGTTTACCCAATGGCGATCCCAGAAATCCTTTCTCAAATACGTGGATCGCTTTACTGACGACTCGTGCATTGTAAAAAGACCTACAAAGGCATTCATATGGAATGCATTGATCCCTTAATCGGTTGCCACAGTCATGATGTTCATGATGGTCTATAAAAACGCAAAAATGTTTATGATAGTCCATAAAAACGCTATAAAAAAAAGTAACAGCAACAGCAATAACAAAACCCAAGCTAATATCTAGCCATCTTGACCGAACAAGCTTAGTAAAGAAGGATTAATTTTTGTTATCCAGTATAAATCTTTGGATTTAATATTAATCAAGAGTAACTGGTTTTATCTATCTCACTGGGAGAGAAAGCCAACTGTGAAGGCGCCTTCTTGTTTTGACAAATTGAAATATAACCTGTTTTGATAGATTTGCAACAATGATAATTGAACCGGCGTCAAAAGTCTCGCTTGATATGATTTAAAGCAGAAATTTACATCTACTTTTACGGAGACCTAAGAAGTAAATTTAACCTCTTCGGACGAGATAAATGCTAATAAAAGACTTTTAAAAACGGCCAGAGTGGTCAAAATAGCTTGATTTTCAAAATCCAAATTTAAAAGTAACATCCAGCTTTGAATCAAAACAGTACAATCCGATGATTTGGTTTGTTTCTTTTGCCGTCGTCTACGATAAGCTTGTCGGCGTCTTACACTCAAAACTTCCTTTCAGAGTTTAAAACTCTTCCCCTGGATGCTATTTACGTTTGACGTGAGGCGAGCAGAGGGATAACAAGGTTTCCGGCGTTTGTTATTTGCAAATTACCTGCATTCAAGAGTTTTTAGTCCAGAAATGCAGGAAAACAAATGAGATTTGTTCAGAGAGTGTGTATCGCTCGTGTTTACCGCAATAACGTAATGTACTAGAAGGGAAAATTTATCAATATGTTGCATGACATTATTCGTGCAACAGACGAAAGGAAATCTGTCATTTTTGGGCCATATTTGCTATGCAGCCAAACGCTGGTCTCTCCCAACATCCGGCTTCTTAGCTTGGATCTTAGTACCGAGTTTGAATTCCGTCGAGTTCTCTAATCGTAGTCCACTTGCAAGAATCATTTCTTAATTAGCCTTTCATTCGCTGGTCAGAATATCATTTATGATATTTAACATCAGGAAATATCTATTATAACCTTGTTTTGCCGCTCTGAACAGAGACTACTTGAGACGACGCCTTAATCATTAACCATGACAGATTCCGTGCCAGTTTCCACGAACTCTGTGCAAGACCAACCAAAAGGATAAGAGGGTCATAGCACGTATTGACACGAGCATTTTCCGCCAAATTAGTAAGTCTTTAATAACTGCGGAAGTCTAAAGTCCCACCTAGGACTTAAAATAAAGGATATTTGTTTGGTAATTTGTTTTTTCTTTTAACAATTATTTAAAAGACCGTCATTATGCACAAACTTTGATCATTTCTTGCAAGGAGCACACAGGAGACAGAAAAGCAATCAAATTGGAGAGGCAAGTGCACTTAACAGTTGAGGTTTTATTAGTCTATTTACTAACTGTTTGTTAGCAAATAGTTGTTCGAGGATTTACAATGAGTGGCAATCGCCGAGGAATAGGTATGTAACATCTGATGCATATAAACTTAGGTAAAAAGGAGAGCTTAGAACTAATGCTTACTTTTTCAAACGTAAACATTTTCGTAGTACATAGAATGACCTCCTTTTATAAAGGTTTAGTTTCAAGTTGGCTGCCCTGGAAATGGCTTGCCAATGTCGAGTCAATGGCACGGTGGACGGCTACGTTTAGTTTTTGACAATATCTCCCTAACAAGTTAGAATTATGCCTGAGCTTTTAGCTGATTTATCGTCGTTCGTGCCAAAATTCTTCTTTTGCAAGAATTGAAAATGAATTTGTCCACACTCGGTGGAAACAACTTAAACATCTATTTCTTTCGTATTCGGCTCTTAGATAGACCCTAACGTGAGATAGACTATTGCATTCTTTGTTTGCCTCAGAATCGATGCATTTTTAAGGAGATAGGTATCAAAGGAATGTGGGGAGCAAAGTTTCGAGCCACTCTTGTAGCTTCGCACAACAAACAGAAACATCCTTGGCCATTAAGTATAAAACCTAAAGAATCGTTATAAACAAGAAGAACGAAGTGTCTTGGGCAGTTTGAACAGCTTTCGTGGGATCTTTTAATTTTAGTGCAACTGAAAATAAGCACAAACAGGGCTTTTAGCACAAAATGGCATTTTT